CTGAGTGGCTCAAAGCCCAGGTGGGCGCTACTTCAGAAAACACCGTCTCGGTAGTCACACATTGCAACACCGGGTCTCTGGCTACATCCGGCCACGGCACCGCACTGGGAATCATCCGCACGCTGCAGGCAAACGGGCAACTTCGCCAGGCCTTTTGCACAGAAACTAGACCCTACAACCAGGGTAGTCGTCTCACAGCCTTTGAGTTGGTGCACGAGGGAATTCCCAGCACGCTCATTGCGGATTCCATGGCGGCGTCACTGTTCCGAACCAAGAAGGAGGAGAAGAACATTACTGCCGTCATCGTCGGTGCTGATCGAGTCGTCCGTAACGGTGATACCGCCAACAAGATCGGAACCTACCAGCTTGCAGTGCTGGCCAAGCATCACGGCATCAAGTTCATGGTTGCGGCACCAACGACCAGCATTGATTTAGAGACGGAGACTGGCGACGGCATCAAGATTGAAGAGAGGAGGCAAGAAGAGATGACGCAGGTCACTGGCGCGGCCATCAAAGCCGATGGCAGTGTGGACGAGAGCTTCAAGGTTCGCGTTGCTACGGCGGACCAGAGGATTGATGTGTGGAACCCTGCGTTTGACGTTACACCTGCTGAGTTGATTGATGCAGTTGTGACGGAAAAGGGCGCCGTGGAGAAGTGTGCAGATGGAAAATTCGACTTTGGCAACATTATGCCGGAGCGATGGGCCCAGGTGGTTGGCCAGTAGAGACTTTTCCACGATCAACCCGAGGACGTTTGATGTTTCAGCACTCGACGATGCAAATGCACACCGGTTTTGACCGAGGTAATGATTGATTGATGAACCTATATATACCACTTAGATCTAGCAATGCGCTACTGCTGAAGCGCATGCACAATTAGCTTCTGATATCCCTCGACAGCTTCTTCCAAGTCTGCGACAGTCAAGTTTTCCCTCGCGCCGTGGGCTACCAAGATATTTCCAGGACCATACAGGTATCTCGTGTGGTTGCCCGCCAAATTGGGAATATCTGTGCCGTAATTGACTGTAATTTTTTCGAATCCTGCATCCGCTGTTAGTACTCGCCTCTTCCGATTTGTTTAAAAAAATTAAAGAAAATTTTTAATAAAGAAAGGGGCAAGAAAAAACTCACCATCAACGTCACAGTTGGACTCGACAGATCCGAATCCATGCGTACAAGTCAGCTCAAACACCTCCTCGTCCACCTCGTCCAAGATTCTTTCCACCTTTTCCTTGACAATCAAGTGCCCGGAGCTTTCGGGGCCGATGGCGACTCTCGCAGCAAACTTGACTACGGCAGTCTCGGGAATGACATTGCCGGCGACACCACCTTGGAAACGGCCAATATTAAAGGTGGTGTCTCCGAACAATTCTGAGCTACCGAGGTCTGCGTCAAGAATCTTGACCATGGCCCGCGCCATGAGCTCGTTTGCCGACTTGCCAAGCCAGGGGTATCCGCTGTGGCCGGGCACGCCCGTCGCAACGACGTCGCAGAACAGGCCGCCCTTGTGGCCGCACGCGAGTTTATTCTCAGTCGGCTCGCCGAATATGACGGCGTTGAATTGAGCAGGGTGTTTTGCCCGCCTGGCGAGAGAGTCGCCAAAGGCCCGCATGCCGTCGCCGGACACCTCCTCGCCCACGACGAAGAGCAGCATGACATCGCCGGCGCTGACGCTGTTCGTGCCGTGCAGCTGGTTGAGGGCGACAATCATGGATGCGACGCTGCCTTTGGCGTCGACTGATCCTCGGCCCTTGATCATGGTGTCCCCGGACACCTTGCCACTTTGGATGCCGTAGGGGATATGAGGAGGCACCACGTCCACGTGGCTTGTGACCACGACCTTGGGCGATGCTGTCCCTTCGCCTTTCCAGGCCAGCACGTTGAAGCGCTCCTTGCCGTTGGGGGTGCCGTCCCTCGCTTCGACAAACTGCCGTTCGGCATTGTAGCCGCGCTCTGTGAGGTACTCGACGAGGAAGCTGCCGACAGCATTCTCGTCACCAGAGATGGATGGGATGGAGACGAGCTCCTTGTGCAGGTGAAGCAGCTCGTCGCGCAATGAGGGGGCTCCATTGTGTGGACTCTGTAGAGATGCACCTTGATGGGCTGCGTGCAATCGGCGTTGGGGTTCGTGACAAGATGCCCATGGGACAAGCCCGAGGGCACAACAGATGACGGCTGACGAGGACCGCATGGTGCCTTTGTCTGTTGCTGCTCGACCTTCAACTTCAGCTCCAACTAGCCCAGCGATGGAAAAACTCGCGAGAGATGGATTGGGTCTGGTAGTTGTGGAGTGGACAACTTCAACTTCGGCAAGCGGTTCCGGGCGGCTAGACCCGCTCATCCCCGCTTCTCCCCGCCATTCGCATCTGTTGCCCGATGGCGGATACAGCGTCTATGACGAATAATATGCGCTCACAACCGTATCGGAGAAGCTGAAGATGCACGTCGCTAAACGCGATAAATTACATTAGAAGCATATCACTTCTAATATACGGATGTCCGGATCAAAAGTCGTGTGCCCTGCACAAGACCCCGGACAAGGATCAAATTAGCCAGCGGGGTTAGAGTTTCCCCGGGTAAACCAAACAAGAGGCATATTAAGGAAATGATTCGCTTAGAAGGGGATAAATGTCAGGAGCATGGAGGCAGAGAGGTCAGAGATAGGGTGATTACATGGTGGAGCCTCGGATCGCTGAGATAACTACTCCGTACGGACGTAACTCCGTACGGACGTAACTCCGTACTGCTGCTTCGGAATCATCGGGACCCAATGGAGTTCTCGTGGATCACACAATGCACGGCGTACAAACGAACACTGGAGCCGTCGCGTTTTCACATGTCATGGGCCGGGCAGCCCGGGGCCTTGGCAGAACCACCAAGACCCCCCCCCGCCTGGTAAAACTGACCGCCTGGTAAAGCCGATGTGAGATGCTTCACTCGGCAAAGACAGCCGCCTCGTTTGGGTGTTGCCAAGTTGACCGGGTCTGCCGGGTTTAACGGCCCCGCCGCCATACCATGGCCCACGATATATAAGAGCAGTTCTGCTTGACTGCCCGTTCTGGTACGGCCTGTGTATTATGTAAACCCTGAAAGACTGACGGAGTTGATACTATAGTCTACACACCATTGCCATGTCACGATATATCGATAGGCTGCCTGAGCCGGCGAAGAAGAGGCCGGTCAAGGTCATTGTCGCCACCGCCAGCAGGTTTGTCACGTCTATTCTGCGATATTCTGTGCCAAGCCCACGGAAGAGCCAGACCTGACTCTGACGGACGACAAATCAGGACAGGAACGCGTAGCGTCTTCTCGGCCATGAAAACCTTGGGCTTCAAGACCTACCACATGGCAGAGTGCCTCCGGCAGAGTGACAATTCGCACATGCAGGTTCTCAACGAGGCCATCCGCGCGCAGTACGATCGATACTCCGGCATAAAGCAATACACGAGACAAGACTTTGACAAATGGTTCGCCGAATACGATGTATGTCCTCTCTTGCTTTCTTGACACAAACCTCCAGAACAGTCACTTATTTTCTTGTCCTTGCCCTTTGTTTTTTTGTTTTTTTTTGCTCAAGTGCATCATCGAGATGCCCTTCTTCTTGGGTCCTGAAATCCTAAAGGCCTACGCCGATGACCCGAGCATCAAGTTTATCCTTACAGAACGCGACCCGGACAAATGGGTCACCTCGGTCAACAACACGATTGGCGGCATTTTCAAGACGGCCATCAGTTTTCCCATGAACTTTCTCAAGTATTTCAACAGCTACCTGTATTGGTTCTTCAATTTACACATTTCACTCTATGGGGCGCTTGCCGACGGCACCGTCCCTGGAGATGAGAACAATGTCGAGGCTTTACGACGCAACTATGTTTCGTAGTAAGTTTGGCTCCTCCAAGTCCCATCGGCCCAGGCAGGAGTCGGATTCTAAAACATTGCGACTGCAGCATCGACATGGCCAAGCGCATCCTGCCCGCTGATCGTCTCTGCTACTTCCGGCTGGAAGACGGCCTTGGCTGGGAGGAAATCTGTCCTTTTCTGGACGTCCCTATACCTGACGAGCCATTTCCCAACGCCTATGTGCCGGAAGACTTCAAGAGGAGAGTCGGCAATTTGCTAAGCCCCAGGATACGGAGGGCTACGTTGACGCTGGTCGCCGTCGCTGTTCCGGTGTTGGGGCTGCTGGCACATCTTGGATTCAAGTACCATGCGGCATTGAAGCAGGGCCTGTAAGGTGTAAGGACTTACCATGAGGCGATTTGGGCTTTTATTTTTTGCATCAACGGCGTCTTTGCGCGAGAAGTACCTTGACACGATTGCAGATCTATTTAGCGTCAGGAGTCGTCGCGACTTGCCCTTGACCCGCTTGACGGCCAAATGCCGTGGAAGGAGGATCGAACAAAGCACCGTGACTAAAAAATCGACCAGGACGTGATACATTAATGTAGGGTAGCGAATTAGAGCTATTCTCGGCAGGCAGGGTCAAGACCCTTTGGCTTTCGCTTTCGCTTTCGCTTTCTTTTCTTCTTTCTCTCCGCTTCGGAAGTGTGAAGAAACAGCTACTGGTAGTAAAATACTGTCCTACGAGGGTCATTCTATTCTAGCTTAAAATGGTGACCATCTAGTTTGAGGCACGGGAAACACCCACACGGTAAAGTTGACTTTTTTTCACCTCGGCAACGTGCTCTGTCTATTGTGTTCTAGTGCGATTTCTACGTAGCGAGTACCAAACGCTAAGAAGTATTGGATGATTAACAACAACGAGCAAGACTTTGAATTGGTCTGTAAAGGTGAATTCTGCGGCCTGTGTTGCTAAAGTCAGAGTGCCACCTGCCCTAATTGACTGCCGTTTTGCAGAGTCGACCACCCTCGTCCGGTAGCTGCTGTCCATGTGGTTAGTCAGATGAGAGAAAATAAAAAAAGAATAGTCATGATAAAACGTGGCAGATTGAATGCGAGGCCAAGATGAAAATGCGAATTAAGCAAGCCAAAAAAAGAAATGCCCCGTATCCGAGTCGAACGAATGACCTTTGCATGGCTTGAATTACTAGGTTGGGTTAGCAGTGGGTCGGGGTTTGTGGAATCGACATGCGACGTACCAAGTGCAACGCTCTACCACTAAGCTAACCGGGCTTTTGTTGAGAACAGGTAATGACATTACAGTCTATGTAGCGTTCAACGCTGGATCCGGTAGGCTCTGCTTTAACCCGTTATCGATATCGCGGCAGGGTTCAAGTCCAATGACAAGTATGCGTATAGCTTGCTCTCTTACTTGGTTAACAAACATACATTTGCTATTCATTGCGGCCACGATGCACAACCCGAGTCGGGGTGTTCGTGGTCTTTGTCCAACACGGTCCATTGTTGGCATTGTCCTTGCCCAAAGCCATCAATCTACTCACTGTCTGCCTGGCGTAGTCCGTGGGAAGCGAGCGAACAACAATCCGAAATGTGAACTGACTCGATTTCTCTCGACGTGAACGCTCAACGGGGGAGGGCGATTGTTCACGGAACAAGTATTTCTGAAATCAACACACCATGGCTTCCGTGACGATACGGCGCCGAATGATTGCGAACAGACCTACGTACCATGGAACAGGGTCCCCGTCGGACTTCATTGTGAACGGTGAACAAGAATGCGAGTAAAGAAAGCCAGGTGTTGAACAATGAAGAGCAACAAAGAACAACGCCGTTCACGTCGGCGCATGGTGGGAACACGACAATTTTCGTTTTCTTCTTGTCTTGGTTCATTGATCCATAGCGCGCCAATCACCCGATCGTGGAATCATTTCTTGTGACGATTGACACTGCGCGATTGAACAAGATGGAGCTTGTTGTTCAAACTCGTTCCGTGAACAAGGAACGGAAGCAACCATCGTTGTTCGTGCAAGTGGCATATATAGACGAGGCCAGGCATTCAACATTGGACGTCTTTCGGTTGGCCAACGCAACATCAGAAGCCGAGCACGAATCATCTCGACAGAATCGTTCACAGCGCAAATCGCCAACATCGACCCCTTGTCATCTTGTCCTCGCCAGCCTTCCATCACGCTCTGCCAGGATGGAGCCCACTGACCGAAACAACGCCCGTCGCCGTGATGATCGGCGCCCGGCACGACCTCCTCTGGATCCACTGGTAACCCAGTTTGACGAACGCGGTGCGCCTGCCAACGCCGCGAGAGGCGGACCGGTTCGTCCACCGCTCTCAGCAGTCGGTAGGGTGAGCGGAGCCTGGCCCCCGGCAAGCCGTCGGAATTCCTTGACGAACGGAGTCAATGGAGCGCGTCAAGAGACCAATGGAGTCAATGGAGTGCATCAGCAGACGAATGGAGTCATTGAAGTGCGTCAACAGACGAATGGCATCAATGGAGTGCGCCAAGAGACCAACGGAGTCATCGAAGTGCGTCAACAGACGAATGGAGTCAACGGAGTGCATGGACAGACGAATGGAGTCAATGGAGTGCATGGACAGACGAATGGAGTCAATGGAGTGCATCAACAGACGAATGGAGTCTATGGAGTGCATCAACAGACGAATGGAGTCTATGGAGTCTATCAAGAATCGGATGATTTCCGCGCTGAAGTAATCCGAGGGCTCACACGCCACAGTCTGCACTGGCCCGGGCGTCGCCAGGCTGATCCAAACACCGACGAAGAACGACTTGCACATCGTGCCGAGATGACCACCCTTATGAACAGTAGGGAGGCTGGCACGCGGGTGTATAATCCCCCTCGTGTGCGGGCTTTTGCCGCCCGTACCCAGGTGAACGGCAATGGCATCGGACCCCAGGTGAACGGCAACGTCACTCGATCGCAGGTGAACGGCAATGGCACCGGGTCCCCGGTGAACGGCAACGGCACTCGATCGCAGGTGAACGGCAATGGCACCGGATCCCAGGTGAACGGCAACGGCCATCGGTCCCCGGGGAACGGCAACGGCAATCGATCTGATCGCGTTTGAAAGGCGTCAACACGAATGTTCTCCATGCCGTACCTAACCACCGCTGGGATCAGCCATCCGACAATACGAGCGAGTGGATTGATGACAGGATCGAAAAAGTGGAAGCTGGTTCGATCAGAAAGCTCAGGTCATGTCACTGCATGGTGGAAATTGGTTGAGATGTAGACGGATTGCGATGTTTGAGATGCTGACGGAATTGAGATTTTTGAGACGCTGACAGATTTGAGATTTTTGAGATTTTTGAGATGCTGACAGAGTGCGATGTTTGAGATGCTGACAGATTTGAGATTTTTGAGATTTTTGAGATTTTTGAGATGCTGATAGAGTGCGATGTTTGAGATGCTGACAGATTTGAGATTTTTGAGATTTTTGAGATGCTGACAGAGTGCGATGTTTGAGATGCTGACAGATTTGAGATTTGAGATTTTTGAGATTAGATAAACTTGAGATGCAGACAGAATTGAGATTTTTGAAATTAAACAGACTTTGAGATGTAGAACGGCCATTGCCCGATACAGAGGTAGTCGAGATTCCCAGTCATCAACCTACGTAACAGGACAGCCCTGGTGAAACCCACTGCCGTGATTTTCCACGCAACCGACCGCGGCGTGACGTCGCCTCACCAACAGATGTTCCATGTCTCCCATGAAGAACACAAAAGACATGCATTCACTGCGCGACCAAACGGGGTGAGAACCGCCCCGAGTTCCACCCCGGTGAAACTAAAAAAGCACCATAAACAACCACAAGTGGTGTCTCCAACAAGGAATCCTCTCTGCTGGATGAACAACGTCGAGATGCACTGCGCCATTGTGTTGACCAGTTGGTGGACACGCACGCCTACGCTCGGAGCTGATACTCTTGGCATGGCTTTGCGTTTCGTGGCGTGTTTTTCATAATTGTGTATGCATACCACACACACACACACACATATATATATATATATATATCATGGCTGCAAAAATGTCGAGTCCACGCCTCGCACCTTCTCACCTTCTCACCCGCAGCACACGCTCGGCTCCTCGATGCCCTTGACGCCCTTGTCCCCTCCGTGCCTCGCCTCAACATCCATCTTGACCTCCAACCAGTCGCAGAAGAACTTGCCCAGGCCGGCGCCGATGAAGATGCAGATGATGACGTAGCCGTTGAAGTACATGGCCAGCAGCATGACAATGTACGCGGTGCCAAACGTCAGGGCATGCAGCACCGACCGCGTCAACTGCTGCAGAAACGTGGCGCGGAACGTGACGACGAAGCTGCTGCTGCTGCTGCTGCCGCCGTCGTCGTCGACGCATCGTCTCGACGACGACTCGCGCCGGAACTGCCGCAGCACAAAGGCGTCGTATTCCTTTCCGAGGCGGCGGAAGAGCTCGACGAGCATGACGAGCAGAATGACGCCGACGCAGGTGGCGGCGAACATGCCATTGTTGGTGATGTGCCAGTCTGGCGTGAGGAAGCATGCGTCGATGGTGTACCAGTTCCAGAGCATCTATTGATGATTGGCGAGCCCGAGTTTTTGCAAGATTAGCCTTTGTTCCCCCCCCCATGAGTGGAGCTTCCATGGATGGACTGTTGTCGCTTGATCTTACAGAAATCTTGCAACCTGCGCCCTCGGGGCCGACGTGGCTGTGCATATCCATTCTTGAGAAACAAAGTGCGCGACGAACAAAGACGAAGACTTGCGTGCAATGTCCGACAAGACTGGGCTGGGGAGAGAGGGAAGCGGTCGCTTAGTCGCAGGCAGCGTGCACTTTTGTTTTCGGTTTTTTTTTTTTTTTCTGTCGCTCGGGCCGATGGAACTATTTGAATATTCGCGGCAAGTTTCGTGGCAATCAAGAAACGCGCTCACCGGTCGCATGCATCGACTTGCTGGTTCCGGATCGTCAGACAGGCCCAAGCAGGATACGAATAAAACGAAACGCAAAACCACCGAGAAAAAAAAAAAAAAGACTAATCCCCTCCGCCGTCTGAAGTCGGGCCCGTTTCACACTTATACAAACAATGCAACCTTGTCCGTTGCGTCCAGATATCGCCCGTGCGCCCCCCCGCGGCCCCAAAGTTAAGGCTGGTTGCGCCAACGTCCGGGAACGGCCAAAGCCAAGAGGGCTCAAAAAGGCGACAAGTCTTGGAACTACTCAATCTGATCCGATGCCGCCTCGTGATTGGCCGACACCCCCGGCCGGCGCGACCATGAAGGGCTCCGCAAAACTTGCTCATTCATGCTCAACCGTTTTACCCCCCCCCCCCACCCCCGAAATAAGCTCACGATCCGACCGCGATGACGGGTCCTTGCGTTCGTTGCCATCCGGGTTAGGGCCATCCGGGTTGGGGCGATTCCGTCGACACAGATCGTGCGTTTGTTTGCGGGTGCTTTCACGCTTTTACAACGGCGGTTTCGACCACGACTTTGCCAACACCCAGCCCGTCGGAAAAAAAAAAAAATGAACCCCTCGACAATGATGGAATGACCAGGCCTGCGATTGGATGCAGGGTGAGCAAATTTGATGCAGTTTTTCCATCTCAACGCTCCCTCGTATCCTCTTTCTTTCTTGCATTAAAAAGCCCTTGTCTTCGGCTCGCGTGGCTGCGTAGCGCAGAAATGAATCAATCTTTATCCGGGACCATCTAAGACAGACATATATATGTACTAGGCAGAAGCCAAGTCCGTGCGACCCACCGCTTGCTTTAAGACGTCTTCCTCCCGTGCTTCCGTTGCATTTTGCTCTGCCGCACACGTTCTATTGTTTTTTCTTTCTTTTTTTTCCTTTTCCTTTTCTCTTTGTTCCGCTCTCACCCACCCCCACAGCGAATTATTGAGCAGGCAGGCCCGACTTTCCATTCGCAATGTTGGACCCGCGTCATATTCAGGACCCTTCACAGGGGGGTGACGTCCAGACTCATTGGGGCTATCCCGACAGGATCATCCCGTGCACCAACGACGCTGGCACGTGTACCTATCTCGATGTTGTCTACTCGGCGCATGACGTGGGACTGGTCTACACGGGAATTCTGTGGGCGACCATTCTCGCCGTCTTGCTGTCATGGGCGCTCCTGAGACGCGCGAGTCGTCCTGCTGTCCAGGGAACATGGCAAAGTACCAGATCCGACCATGGCGCCTTCACAAAGCTCTGGAAGACTGCTGCCGCTGCCTCGAGGCGGCTCCTGCTCAAGG